ACGAAAAGCAGGCGTTGTATGTAAGCATTAGCGACTAGTGCCCTTTCGGTCAGAACAGGCCGCCGGGCGTAATAAATTGTATTGTATTGTATTGTCGCTTTCCCCCGCAAGGCTTGGAGAAAAAAGAAATTCAGTCATATCACAATTCCTGCCACACCTGGTCTTTTGAGTTCTTGTGTTATTCTTTGGGATGTCAGGAGCAAATTTTATATGAGAATAAAAGTAATCATAGAATGGTAAATTGGATCAAGTTGCAAGTGGGTGCTAATGTATTATCCGAGGTCGCACTCAAGTTTATCATTCCCATCTCTTATACGTGCCGCCCACGTGTCGAAAATCATCGTAAAGCTTGGGAGCTATACGTTTTGATCTGATCTGACGACAGCGGCGTCCAAGCTGATACTGGAACCAAACCACAGTCAAACTGAGTTCCAGCTGGCCCCGCATCCTTCGAATTAGGGTCAGGGTCAGGGTCAGGGTCAGGGGCAGGGGCAGGGGCAGAGCGTGATGCTTTCAGTCTGTCACGGGTTTTAGAGGGAAGAAGATCCTCATAGGCGCAATCTTGTACTTCGTCGTATTGTGTGATTGGGCAACGATTGGGAGAAGTTTCGCATGTCTTGATTGCGTCTTTTACAACGCCACTGTTGTTTCCCTCTTCCAGGTTCCTGGCGTCTGTGCCGTAATGAGGCGCCATGTTGCGCCGCGTTATTGCATAATTCAATGCGCTTGGTCCCCTCCCTCCTGAATTGCATGGACAAAACTTATTCGGACAAGGGCAGCTTTCAGGGCTCACTAGCATTTGGTTCCTAATGCTTCGAAATCAAGCTTTTCCAATGTCTGCCCAAGTGTAGACCTTTCCAAAGAATACTTCGGGAGTCCCGTGTCTCCATTTGATCTATGCAAGTGGCGTTCCAATGATTTCATCAAGGGTTGAAACTCTTCCACCATGTCCAAAGCCAGGGGTTGAACCCCTGATGTTGCCTCAATCGCCTTATCGATGTTTCGAAAGAAGTTTTCCCATGTCCCTGGCGCCCTAATAATAGTCATGGCCGTCGAGAAGCTGGATGCCATCTTGTTGCATGTTTCTTCCATCGAGAGGACCTTTTCAAGAAGTCGTACCCATAAAACATTGTCCCCTTCGGCTGTCACGACCGGATGAAGGGCAAAGACCCCAAGAAAAAGCAAGGTCTTCCAATAGTTACGTACATTTGCGCTGACCTTCAGGCACGCAGTGTACTGAACTTGTATATCATGATCAGGTTCTCTTGCGTCCCTGCTCACTAGTTTAGATTTCAGAACTAATCAGAGACGGGATAGAAGCTTACACTAAGTTATCTCGTTCTCTCTTGATTTCCTGTGTCGTCCTGGCGAGAGGAACGAAAACACAATAAGACATTAAGCCCATGAGACAAAGGATAGCTGTCACAATAGGGGGTACGAGCCACCAAGGGAGAAGGATATTTAAGGTTTGGCCAATTACCACTGCTGTAGGCAAGCCCTTTAAAACAGGGCCCTTGAAGACGGTGTTTAGGGAGGGTGTCTTCCGAACGGCTGACCATGTTGCTTGCTCTCCCTCCATCAAACATAAGTACGACAGGTTTTCAAGTGCTGGTTCTAGATCACGCCACAACTTGTCTTGGAAATAATCGCAAGCAAAGGGGAAAGCTGATCGGAAGATGCAATATACTTGCTGGAAAAAAGAGGGAGGAGACGATCCTGGGCCGGAGCTTAGTTTCAAATCCAGAAAGTCAAAAATGCAAGAGGACATCAATGGTAATATCCCCAGCATGATACAAGCTATGAATTTGGCAAAGAATGGTAAAGAACAATAAAAACCAACCCGAGGGCGGACGCGACCGGTCAAAAGTGGTGTTATTTCACTCATTGCAATCAAAGAGAAGTGCTGAAGGGATATGATAGAAAGGAAAACAGCGGAGTACTCTCCATATATGTAGATAACCTCTTTCTCAAGCGGTTTGTGCGGGGTGAAGCCTCTGTTTGAGATGCACAGTAGACCTAACTTTTCACTTTGCGCCAGGTAGATTGAAGATGTTCTTAGGCCGCATGCATGTAAAACATATCCAGTCAAAGAACGCTCCGCCAAATCTCGCGTTGTGAAGGGCCCGTTACTCCGGCGGTGAGTCTTTGCTACTGAAAACACAAGTGATGTACAAAGAATTCGAATTAGAAGTCAAGAAATTAAACCTATTCGCCCCTTCAAGGTTACTCTTCCTCCTCCTCCCATAAGCTGGTTCATTTTAACGAAGGCTCAAAATTTCAAACGCCAGGCCAGCATGGCGGACATAGCTGGCAAGGCTGAGACAGTGATATTGAACATCGATCTCAGCAGGAATACATCATGAGCCAACGTCTGACTTTATATGAGATATCATAATTCAATCCCAGCGCAAAACAAAGTGGGAGATATGAGCAAGGGTAGAACTTGGTACGGCTTGCTCTGTGTTGCTTCCGCGGGTGGAGTAATTTCCCATGAAATAGACCGACAGCAAATTAGATCTCGTCCCGTCATGAATGTTCTCATTCCAGATCGAGTGAGCAATGACGCTGTAATTTTAGGAATTTTTATGCACCAAGCTCGAAAGACGCTTTGACCAGAGCGCATCACAGAAAAGCCAATGATTAACAGGGTACCCCACTGTTTTGTATTCCTGGAATACAAAATAGTGGGGTACCTGTGCTCATGGTTGCCCACATTCGTCAAATGGACCCAGCGCCGGTTTGTTCGCCTCCCATTTCTTGCTCACCTTTACACTGCGCAACGATGAGCACTAATGAGCTCGAAATCTTGGGACATATCCTCATCGCTGCTGCGAAAACCGAAAACTCACACTATCCATTCATCATTGACGTTGATTTGTTGCAGGGCGACGCTACCTTCACTCGATCATGGAATGGGATCGTGAAAGACTGCAAGCGAATCGCGCACAATATCCCCCAACCCATCAGAGATATCGTTGGGAAACATATTCAAACCAGACGAGACAGCAATCCAGCCTCTCGACTTCCAGAATCGTTCTGTCAGCCCGACAGCCCCATTGCCCAGATATCGCAAACGCCAAGAGAGGTTTCGCAATCCATAAGTGAAGGTATACCCTCAACTATTCGAGCTAGTTCTATTACTGAGGCAGAAAGGGGTTCAGAGGAGTGTGTCTCGAGTTCTTTGAGCCAGAAGCAACTGTTGGCTCGGAACCCAACTCCCGTGAAGAGTACTTCAAAGCGAAAACAGCCTCTGCCCCCCATTCTTCTCAAGGATCTAAAATCTTGGGTTGAATCACCAAAACAGTTTTTAAATCTTGAGGGAATAAAGGTTGATGATTGTGGTATCATCCCTTACATCCGAGCAGTTGAAAATTCTCAGTATTTGAATACCATTAGAAAGCGGTTCGTCCTGCGACAGCTGGCTGAATCAAAACGACTCTGGGCACCTCGAACAACGAAGACCTTCTTTGAAAAACTCGCTACGCCACGTTCGACTCTCAACAATTGGATATACGAGGGTGGTAACTACGCCTCACTCGTTGCAAATAAAGGCCCCGAGGTCCTGTTCTCAGAACTCAAGCCAAGAACCCAGTGAGTTTACTAATCTTCCGTTCCAAGATAAACACTAACAAAGTTCAAGTTGTAG